TCTCACTCTGTCACCCAGGCTGGAGTGCAGTGGCACAATCTCAACTCCGCAACCTCCACCTCCCGTGTTCAAGCAATTCTCCTGCCTCAGCCTCCTCAGTAGCTGGGTTTACAGGCACCTGACACCACGCCCAGCTAATTTTTGTATTTTTAGTAGAGATGGGATTTCCCCATGTTGGCCAGGTTGGTCTCAAACTCCTGACTTCAGGCAATCCGTCCAACCCCTCCTCCCAAAGTGCTGGGATTACAGGCGTGAGCCACCATGCCCAGCCTTCTCTTTTTGCTTAGACTAACTTGAATGGATTTTGTTCCTTGGAAGCAAAGAGTCTCTGAAACAATGCTTTTCGTCTTAGCTGCTCACCCAGTTGGGTGATACCATCACCACTGCCACCAGCAACCACAGTGGAACCCATTTCCCTTGAATACAGGTAGTTGGGAGCCAGCATCCCTTGGACAGCAGAGCCAAATGCCAAAAGCACATCATACTAGCTTGTAGCAGCATTTGTTAGTCAAATGATGTGCTGACAAATGTCTTAACAACCAGCTCACCAGGAGAAAAAAACTCCCAGTCTGAAACATTTCCCAGTCTCCATGGTGTAAATGGCCCCACCATTGCCACTTCCGATGTTCTATTGTTGAACAACAGACTTTGGAAAAGATACTCACAATGGACTCTTAGAAGTCAGGACAAGCCTACATTTTCTGATTTATAAACACTTCCTAGCTGCCTTTTATGACTTAGCTCTTGTCATCTCACTCTTGGGTTAATGGTTTAGAGTATTATTAGCTCTATGTCTTTTATTCTGAACCAGTTTAAATCTGTTTTAGAGAAGGTATCGTAAAATCATTTTTAAAATACAGCCTCATTCTTCTCTGAGAACCATAGTTTTATGCCCTCTCAAACACTAAGAAAATAATAACAATACTGAACACTCATACAGCAATTCAGTGTCTAAATTAACTCCATGGCATGCTACGGTGGCAAGAACATACGCTTTGCCATCACACTGACCTGTTTTGAATCCCTGCATAAAGGATGCAGTTAGATTTCCTTTCACATGTAACGGCTCATTTGTTCCAAGTATTCACCCAACCTCAGTGTTGGTCTTGGGCATGACAGCCAAAATCAGAAAACACTCCCAAACAAAGGCCACAACTTTCTCAAGGGATCAGTTGCTCCTTTTGGAAAGGCAGAGCTGACTCGTAAGCTGAGGCTGGAGGCAGAGCATACCTGAGTCCAGCTTTGAGAAACCTTACACACTCCATTTCAGAGACCAGAAAGAAAGCTGGACCCCAAATGCTGCACTTCTTATGTTCTCTTTGAGCTGAGCTTTTGTCCTCTGGTTCTGCTTGTAAGGCACAAATGAGACAAGAATTCCCTGGGAATCATCTCCCTCTGTAGACTGCCAAAGGTACACATCACCCTACCAGCTGCAGAGGGAGAAATGCCCTTTGCTGGTGTGCTGTGGGGGTGTCTTGATGGTTCTCCTGTTAGATTTCAGTTTCAGCTCAAACCATTTCCAGTTTTACCTTTCCAGTGATTTGATAACAAACCCTGGAGCATGAACCAACTTAACCAATCATCCCTTTGAGTCTCCTCACTCTTGACTATCCCCTACCCCTGGTTTGTAAGAAACCCAAATGTCCCAGGCCCCATTAGTCTTTGAGTCTTTGAGAACGAAGGAGGTAACTTTCCCATGAGCAAATGGCTCCCCAAACCCTGCCTGGAGAGCTTTCAAGTCAAGACAAAGACTTTATCTCAGAGCTCCTTCAGTAGGGTCTTGTGTTTTGGACAAGAGTTTTCAAAATCCTTAGGAACACATTTCTTACGTGGAATTTCACATCAAAGTCCTGAAAGAGATTTTTTTTAAAGTAGAGTTGTTCCTTTATGGCCTTTTAAGTCTTTTTATTTTTCAGATCTCAAAAAAATTAGAAATTGGAACTGGTTAAATTGCAGTGAGGGCCCCAAAAGACTCCTGCGGACCTGAGCCCTGGTTCCTGGCCTATTGAAAAGGCCTTAACACATGGCGGGGAAACCCTAGTGCTCCTCGGGCTCAATTTGAAAACCGCTGCACTAGGAAGTTCTTTCTCTGCCTATGTGCAGAATTAGGAGCATCCAAAGTGGGTTGACAGCTGGAGACAAGGAAACCACTTAGGAAATCAACTACAGTTGATCCAATGAGTGCTAAAAAGACTCAAACTACCTACAGATCTTTTTAGGGGGAGACATTTCAGAGACAGACTAACTAGGACTGGGCAACTGATTGGATGTGAGAGCCATAAGAGACGACAAAGATGCCTCTGATTTTTCAAGCTTGTGTGACTGCGAAAATTATGGTAGAAACTCAGGAGAAATGGCACTCAGAAAAAGAAGGAAATAATCCATTTGGTTTGGGGCGTGCCGTATGTTTTGTCTGGACTGGTTTAGCTTCTCTCTTTTAAACATCCTGGGAGCCCTTCTATCCTAGATTAAGAAGGTGACCTGTCCACAAGTTCCCACAGGAAACCAGGAGGGGCCCCATCATGCTTCCTGGGCAGACACGCATAAGACACAAAGTGCAAAAATATATGCCAGTTGCAAGGGAATAGGACTCCAGGCTGTGAGGTCTATTTACCCCAAAGTCATGGCCAAATGGTCAAGATCAAGCTTCTAAATAAAAACGTGTTCTGTCTCCAGGCTCAGCCCTTCTAAGGACCTGGGCTGGCAGCATTGCTCTCAGCCGGAATGCTGTCAGATCAGATAGTTGACAAATGTTTGCTCAGGGCCTGCTGTGTTGGGGTTAGCCTAGAGAGGTGAGATTACTGGCTGTCCTCAGGATTCAACCAGCCTAAGCACACAGATGGGGTCACCCAGACCACTGCTTATTCTCCAGAGTGAGTTCACTCATTTATCTCAGAGTGATCCACAAATAGTGACTTCATGCAGTTATGATCAGGGACTCTCTGTGTTCCGTGACCCAGGCTGGATGCACTTGGCTGTCACAGTTAGAAAGCTGTCACAGAAAGATCTTCCAGTGCCAATCTCCTTTCTCCCTCTGTTTGCCACTGGATCACCAGAGAAGGCAGATGGTACCCTGCAAACACATCCAGAAACCAGGAAATGTGACTCAGGTTGATAATGGAAATCCAGCACTGGGCACACCATCGCATGAGACTAACCGTTGCAATGAGATACCGCAGGGAGGAGGGAGAGGCAGACTTCAGGTCAACTTAAGGAAGATCATCCTTGATGGTTAAGAGCACAGCGTGCAGAGTCAATCTGCCTGGGTTTGAGTTCTTCCTTTCTCCACCAGTTACCAGCTGTGAACCCTCTCTGTGCCTTAGTTTCTATGTCTTTTAAAAGGAAATAATGATTAATACCTCCTGAGCTGGATGTAAGCATAAAGAGAGATAAGCCACGTAGAGATTTCAGCACAGCAGTGGCCACATACCCAATACGTGGTGATCATTCTTAAGTCCCGTTCTGCATAGGAGTGGGTTGCGCCAGGGGTAGGAGGTACCCTATCGTGTGGTTTTTCCACTCTGCATTTGGACACCTTTGTCAATAAATGATGCAGAGAGATTTCAGTGTGGGTGGGGAGCTGACTCTCTTTTGCTTACTCTGAAGTCACTTTCACAGCTGAGACTGAAAATATGGAGTCCAGACACATCCTTTCTTCGTGGGCGCCTGCGTCACCCCATGTTCACGCTGCCAGCATTCACAGGACACCTACTCTGCCCAAAGTATAGTGCACTGTGTCAACAGTGGGGGAATTTTAACCCTAAAGACCAAGTAAGCTTGTGTACAGCCAGCCACTGTGGCCATGGCTCTAGATACCCCAGGAGAAGGACACAGACCAGGCTACGTGCACTGGTCAAACTAGGACTTGTTTTCTATTTCTGTCTTTGGGATTATCTAAGGGATTGGCAGGTCTGTAAATCACTCCAAGCTGCTTCACCATGCAGACACCAGACCTGCCACCAAAAACACCCTGCCAAGCATGAGGCTGTTTATCAAAACGAGGTCTTCAAAAATCTTTTCTCTCAATTTCCACTCTATTTCCTAATCAAGAAATAGACAATCCCAGGAGAAAATCAGCTCTCATTTCCCTTCTTATCTCTGTCTGTCTCTCAGCCTCTGTCTCACTCTGCCTCCTTCTCTCCCTCCTTTCTTTCCCTCTCTCCCCACCCCCTCTAGCTTTTATCATTTTAAGCTGTATGCATGCCATTCTTCAGGGGATTAAAGTCAAATTTAGTCTTCTGCAATAGTTATTACCTAACCCTTGGCTTATGAGATGCATTTGCCTGCATTTGTAATGCATCAATAACTTCCACTCTCCTCCACTTGTAAACAATGCATTATATTAAATAGCCTGTGTCCAGCCTTGTATTGAAACAGACAATAAATTAGGACTTCCAGTTCTTGGTTTTTACTGATTCCTAAACCTGCCAGTTACATGCCTGTCTGCCCCACTGAACATTCTCTCTAAAGCTGAGAATGCACAAAGCCCTTGTTCACCGTTCCTCCTGTCTCCATCACTGCTGCCGGCTGTCAGTTTCACACCATCAAGCAGATTGTAATTGGCAGGATAAGGTGCAGAAATAGGGAATGGTTTGAATACGTGGTTCTCACTATACACACATGCACACACACACACACAAAATCCAAAATTTCTCTCTCTCTCTCTCTCTCTCTCTCACACACACACACACACACACAGACACACACACACACACCTTTTCTGGCTTACAACATTCTGCAAACTTAGGGACTTGATTTGTGAAGCTTCTAATCAGAATCCACAAGGGTTGCCCTCATTTTCTAGCCCATGGATTGGAAGCAAGCAGAGAAAGGAAAGACAATGCAATCAACACCCAGTCCCGTTCTAATGCAGCCAGGCTTTCCCGGTCCTAGACGGATGTTGCTTTGAAAATGTGCCCTGCTGGGAGCCAGCCCTTATGTTTTGTCAGGAGGCTTCCTGGGATCTAAAATCCACAAGCTTCTGGAGAACTGTAATCTCCTGTCCAGCCCTGAGTGAGGTCCTGGGGCAAAGAACAAAAAATCTGGAAAGAGGAATCTAGCTCAAAGAATCTTGCATCGTTTGTATAGATCTTTACCTTCAGAGCAATAAAAGCTCGTCATAAATCTTTCCATATGGTGTATTCCAACATCTACCAATATTCCGCAAACTCAAACCTAGATGAATTGGATCATTTAAACCAGGGTTTCTCAATCTGGGCATTGGTGGTGTTTTAAACCAGATAATTTAATTATTTGTCACAGGGGGCTGTCGTGTGCATGGTGGGATATTTAGCAGCATCCCTGGCCTCTATTTACTTAGATACCAGTAGTACCTCCCCGAGAACGTGACAATCAAAAATATCTCCAGATATTGCCAAATGGTCCCTGCAGTGCAAAATCGCCCTGGTTGAGAACCACAGTAACTGTTATATTTAGTCTTGATGTCTGCCCATCGCGACAGGATTTCAGACCTAATGAGGCCCAGAGGGTTCCTCTAGTCCTATTGTTCTCAGGATGTAGTCCCTGGACCAACATCAGCATCACCTAGGAACTTATTGGAAATGCATCGAGCCCCACGCTAGACACACATAGTCAGAAATTCCAGGGAGGGAGCCCAACAACCAGTGTTTTAATGAGCATCCTAGATAATTCCCATGCAAGCTAAACTTCAAGAACTGCTTCACTCCTCATTATTACAAATAGAAAAATCAAGATCTGGAGAGGTAAAGAGACGTCCCTGAAGTCACAGAGCTGCCTTTTTTTCTTTTTTAAATGCAGAGTCTTGCTCTGTTACCCAGGGACATGATCTCAGCTCACTGCAATCTCAGCCTCCTGAGTAACTGGGATTACAGGCACGTGCCACCAAGCCCAGCTAATTTTTATATATTTTTTAGTAGAGGCAAAGTTTCACCATATTGGTCGGGCTGCTGTTGAACTCCTGATCTCAAGCGATCCAGCCATCTCAGCCTCCCAAAGGGCTGGGTTTACAGGTGTGAACCACCATGCTCAGCCTCCCAAAGTCACAGAGCTACTTTGAGAGGCAGACCATCTACCACCTGAACCAAAGCACTTACCACTAAATCACTCTCCTGTGCACCAGCCTGGGCCATTTCCCTGTCTCAGGCTTCAGTCCTCTTGTCACTTTTCTGAATTGCACCATTGTTTGTGCTTGTTTTCCCGATCTTTTACCCTTTGTGGGATACTGCCCACTGACGAGGCTGAGATTGAGTTTACAATCTCTGTTTATATTTTCTTCCTGCTAGCAGTGGAGCGGGTGCCCGGCAGTGTGTATAGCAGTGAACACAGGTCTGCATGGCTGTTTTGTGGGTAATATCTGTTTGTGTCTCTATGTGTGTGCCTCTACACATAGGCTATGGCTACATGCATGCATCTAAGCGTGTGTGTGCATATATTAGTTTTCTTGGGCTGCCATAAAAAAGTGCCCCAGACTTGGTGGCTTAAACAACAGAAATGTATTGTCTCACAGTTTTGGAGGCTGGAGGTCTGAGAGTGAAGGATTGGGAAGCTTGGTTTCTTCTGAGGCCCTCTTATTGATGGCCCTGGCATCTCTTCCTCTTCCCATAAGGTCACAGTCACATTGGAAGGGTCCACCCTAATGGTCTCATTTTAACTTAGTTACCTCTTTAAAGCCCTTAGCACCAAATACAGTCACAGTCCTGGGTGTTGGGAATTCAACATACAAATTCTAGGAGGACACAGTTGAGCTCATAGCAGTGCACAGAAAGGGGACATGAAAGGCAGAGGCCGCTGTCTCTGAGCGGCCAAGCTCCCCTCTCGGGCCCGCTTCCCCAAACGCAGGATCAGGAACCTGTGACCGCCGTTGGCAGCTTGTCCCTTAATTTGAGGGCCAGTGGCAGGCATGAATCTTGTAAGGCAGATTTCAGGCAGGCAGAAACTGACATGTTCCTTCTTTCAGATCAAATGACTATAAAAGTCATCTTTGGGGCTCCCTGGAAAACAAACATGTTAATCCAGGGTTAGCAGATGGACTATTTTTGACTAACATTCAAGCAGACTTTGTGATTTTTTTTTACCCCCTACAGTTGTGAGAATTAAAAATAGTAATTTTCACATCAGGTGGGCAGAGCCTCTGACCCCTAGTCTTGTTCAAATATTACTAGTTTAAAAACGCACAGTAAAATAAATAGACTTTCTAATTCAGAAGCAGCTCTGAACTACCGGCTGATTTCTATCCTGATTTGAGTCCAATGTGGATGCATTTGGGTCACCGCAGAAATTGTGTATTTAGAAGGCATAATGACCCAGGCTGCAAATGTACAATGGAGCTTGGGTAAGAACCCTGGAGTCCTGACTTCAACCCACAGGGTTATGTTCAGCCAGGTTTTATCTGTTTTAAACGGCACAACAGGATCTTCCTTGACAGATGCCTTGGGGTCAGGGCAGGCCACTCCTCAGCCTTGGGTTCTGGGAGCAACTTTGAAAGCTACAACACAGGCAGTAGGAGATCACCAGGCCATCCTTCCTCACCCAGCACTTGAGGTTTCTCTGAGCTCCTAGAAATGGGAGGACTTCAGTCCCCGATAAGGATTAGTCCACAGATATGTGGGGAGAGGGCAATATACAGCCCCAGGTCAAACAGGTCAGACCAGGAAACCTAAATAGCAGATTGGAACACATGAAATTGCCTTTTTAAAAGTCAAAATGGCCAGGTGCGGTGGTTCACACCTGTAATCTCAGCACTTTGGCAGGCCGAGGCGGGAGGATCATCTGAGGAAAGGAGTTCAAGACCAGCCTGACCAACATGGCAAAACCCCATCTCTACTAAAAATACAAAAATTGGGTATGGTGACATGTGCCTGTAATCTCAGCTACTTGGGAGGCTGAGGCAGGAGAATTGCTTGAACCCAGGAGGTAGAGGTTGCAGTGAGCCAAGATCACGCCATTGCACTCCAGCCTGAGCCACAGAATGAGTCTCCATCTCAAATAATAATAAATAAAATAATAATAAAGTCAAAATGAGTAGAATGTTGGCAAGTTCATGTGGTTCAACTCATAACATACATGGGTCTCCCTACCGCTGTCTTAGGAACCCTCCAATGCCCCCTATGCTTAGAGGACTCAAGGTACTGCTGGAGAGAGGAGAGGAAGTAGGAGACAGCTTTAAAGAGCCCACAATCTAATTCAAGACTCAGAAAATCAGACCAGGCACCGTGGCTCACACCTGTAATCACACATTTTAGGAGGCCAACGCAAGAGGATCATTTGAAGCCAGGAGTTTGAGACTAGCTTGGGCAAAATACCAAGACCTTGTCTCTATAACAAATAAAAAAATTCAACAGGCATGGTGGCACACACCTGCAGAGCCAGCTAGTTGGGAGGCTGAGGCAGGAGGAACGCTTGGAGGAGTTCGAGGCTGCAGTGAACTATGATCATACCACCACACTCCAGCCTGGGTGACAGAGTAAGACCCTGTCTCTTAAAAAGAAAAAAAAAAGATTCAGAAAATTAGAAGTTTGTTCTTGTATTATTCCTTTGTCAGAAAAATCAGAACTTAGATATGCAGTTCTCTAGTCTTTACACAGAAGATTCCTTAACACCAGAAATAAGTGTATCTGTGAGCTGGTGGATGTCCACAAGCTGTTTGCTACCAGTTCATGACAAGTAAGTATAGAAATTGAAAATAATCATTGAAAAACACTTATAACAACGTGACATCATAATTTTATTTCTGTTGACTCTAACAGTAAAAAAAATAGAGTTTGAGTTCTGTATATCTGGGTTATTTCACTTTTCTTTTTTTTTTTTTTTTTTTAAGATGGAGTTTCACTCTTGTCACCCAGGCTGGAGTACGGTGGCACCATCTTGGCTCACTGCAACCTCTGCCTCCTGGGTTTAAGTGATTTTCGTGATTTAGCCTCCTGAGTAGCTGGGATTATAGGCATACGCCACCAGGACCAGCTAATTTTTTTGTATTTTTAGTAGAGACAGGATTTCACCATGTTGGCCAGGCAGGTCTCGAACTCCCGACCAACCTCAAGTCCCACCTCGGCCTCCCAAAGTGCTGGGATTACAGTCATAAGCCACCCTGCCTTATACCTATTTCACTTTCTAATTATTCAATGTTACTGTATTTTAAAAATTATCAGTCCACAGAGGATTGGAAATATTTTTTAAAGACCTTTCACCACAGATATTTGAGAAGTACTAATCTGCAGGAAGGTAGATATCAGCTTAATATAAACAACAAGAACTACTGTCATAATGTTTATTACGTACATGTCCCATTATAAAGTCTTGCAACATATACTCATTGACTTCACACAGCAACCTTCAAGTAAGAACTATTATTATTCCAATTTCACAGATGAGGAAACTGAGTCACAGAGAGGAGAAATTACTTTCCCAGTATTGCACCACCAATCAGTCATAGGGCTGAGATGGGAATTCAGGCAGTTTGGCACTTGAGTCCATGATGGTAACCTCTGCCATTAAATATATGAGATAACTTAATTCATATGTAAGTGGCAAAATAGAAAGGAAATCAAGGAATGATTAACACCAGAACTTGGGAAGGGAGTTTGGTAGGAGGAAGGAAGGCAGGGGATGTAACAAGAGGTGTGCGTGCCAGGAGTCAAAGATCTGCTTACATCCTGTGCCCTAACCTGGTGAGGAATATATACAGGTGTTCATTCTATGA